CACGAATCAGTTGAAGTTAAGCTACGTCGAGCTCGGACAGTCCTTGGAAGGCTGACCATGTTTGGCAGCTTGACTCCTGAGGGTATCCTGGACGTCAGTCCTGCCCCACAATGAAGCACATGTGATACATGTGGTCTCACCTTAGGCAAGTGAGTGTGTTCAAAATTGCTTCTGTTCACCCAGCACAAAATGGGTACCCGGTTGGATAAAGTCATGTGACTATGGGGGCAGTAAATCGGACAATGTCAGTTTACAAAGTATGTTTTAAAGCAGGACCGTTACGTGTACCTCGGGAGATATGGTACTACATGTAATGGACTTGTGGCTATGACATTAAGAATATAGTTGGCGCTAGTCATATGAAAATAAACCAAGTGTTCAAAATCAGGTTAAAAGTAGCATAAGGTTCCATTTCTAACAGACTCGTGGCGGTAAAACGTTTGATGTGAGTGCATGTTGTGCAAGATCTACAACAGTTTATTGACCGTCACGTACGCTGGTAAACGTTGAAACAGCTTAGCTCGATAGCGCCATGTCCGGGATCACAGTGCCATGTTTGTTGTTGGATGACGTCATTCAGTGCTCGTGTAATGATAAAGGTGAGTTACTGTCAGCTGTAAAACTATATACCTTGAATGGTTGTAAATAGTTATACCGCTACAACATGAGTGGGTTAACGCCAGGGCTATATCGGTTGCGGCTTTGTAACAGGAAGCGTTAGTAGTCAAGTCTACGCAAGTCTGTAGCTGATAACAACTATGCCTTGGTTCTGGGTGGGGTTATCTAGAGCATACTGACTTATGTCATGTGATTCCAACATAGCTATTGCTTACAGGTTTGACCAAGATTGTATGTGTTTTGTCCTTTAACGCCATAATGTTCCAGTTATATGACGACGGTTTGTACATAACTGAATTTGGACCAGTCAAGTCCATGATATGAAAACATTAAAATTGGGTATTTCCTAACTTAGATGGACAGCTCAGCCTCTGTTGTTCCTCTAGGACAACTTACTTTTGCACGAGTCTGTTGTCCACTGTATCCATGTCACGCAATAGTTACATATTTAACAATGGCAACAATATATTGAAATGTAATTAAAGTAGTATATTATTCACAATAACAATAGCAAAAATGCGTTGTCTAACACACCCTCAGCCTTAGACATATTCAGAGACGTAACTATGGTATGTTTTAATGAACATGGTCTCCATTGAAAAAAGATAAAACTTGAAAAAAATATTTTTGAAAATTATAAAGCCTGTGTCCGTACAAATAACAATGTTCTTACATATGTATTTGATTCTTATGTTAGTGTTAGGCAAGGTTATGTCCTAAGCCCTTTTATATGTTCACTTTTTATCGACGAACTAGTGTCTGAGATGAACCGTTCCAATTATATCTAGATCTTATTGAAATATTCATTTTGGTGTTTGCTGATGTAGTGTTCTTCTCAGAGTCAGTGATTGGTCTACAAAGGCAAAGTAATGACTTGTACAGCAATACATTGGTCTTAAATGTAGACCTTGATCAAACTAAAATTATGATTTTTAAAAAAAGGATCAAAACTGTCAAAATAAGAAAGTGGACATATAAATCAACTATGCTTGACGTAGAACTTTATACATACATACATTCATACATATATAATAGAGGTTTCAAGAAAGCACTGATGTCCTTATATCCGTCCGCTTAGATTCGTCTAAAATTGCTTGATTTCAATGTAGTTACTATACATCGATAAACCTATCATTCAGTAGAGCCTTTGAACTAGACTAATCTTGCACTTAAACGCAGAATGACAAAAAACAACATGTATTTGTTTTACTTGCCTATTTTGTACTGTATACTACACAAACATATCTGTAATCGGTCGTTGAGTCGACACCGTTGAGTCGAACCCCGATATTTCGAACTGTTATCTCGAACTAACAGCTTTGCCAATGCTTATTCCTTATTTAGTTTCTTTTAATAACATAACTCGAGTCTTTACGTAGGTTCCTTCAACTTCGACACAAATGGTGTTTGTATGTGTATCAATAGCTATAGGTGTATTGACAACTCCTATATGACGTACATGCGATACCCTTATACTGTTATTGACGCACACAAGGGTGAACAGTTCAAATATTTCCGTCACGTCATTAACGTTACCTGATAACTTCACCGCGGTCAACTACGACTCTGGACTAACCTCTGACCTCTTGTTGGGTAACTGCTCTAATTCCTGTACTTCTATTGTACTTCAGTGGTGGCGAACGACTTCTTCGTCCTCCTGGTAGTCAACGATGATATTTTCAGTTCTATCCCTGGCTCTCATGGTAGCATGTGTGCGAAACGAGACTCGACCACCAATCATAGGTTTCCGGTGAGCCCAAGGGACGCAACTGTGCGCATCGAATTGTGTTGCCGTAGACGAGGGAAAAATCTGAGAGCGATAGAAACCCAGTCGCGGATGATGTTTTATTCAAAGTGATGAAATAGCTAATATCTTAAGTTTCCACATGATATTTGTTTGCCAAACATAATTCTACGCATGTACTGGACCATAACTGCTCCCTGTATTTACGAGTCTATTAGAATATGATGTCTTAGTGTAACACGGCACTCGCCAACATTCCAACTATATATCGGTGGCTTTTAAATAGTCGAATCTTGACCAGACAATTAGGTTATGGACATGAGGGGCGAGAGACGCATGTTGGATACTTTGACATGAACCAACAGCAAGCCTGCAAACCTGACCAGCCGATCCCGTTAGTCGGGAATTGGTTCCAGAGACCAGTTTTAAGTTCGTTTTTCAGAAGGTTTTATAAGCATATTAAGTGTACAGGGAACGCCTTGAAGTCCTGCTCGTGCACGCTCTTCAGTCTGTACTTATGGACTAAGCAATATGTATCTGCCAGTGCACATTCATCCATGTTGTATAACACAATCTTTATAGTCACAGATAAACAAACTGTATTGTTACAAATCATTTTTTTTTAACTTGTTTCTGACATGGATAGTGTGACGCTGGATATTCACGTGATCAGATTTATTGGAAAGGCAGTCGCCACTCCTTGATCCCATTATCAGCTGCTCAGTCAGGGTTTACAACCAACCAGACGTCGTTCAACTGGCTATTCAGGTTCCCTTCGGTCAGGACACTTCCTGGATTCCTTTGGCATGAAGCCCCTGACCATGCTAACAAAGGGAAAAAAACAAAACAAAACAACAATAAAAAAAACAAAAAAAACACCCCACGAAACAAAACAAAGCTAACACCCACCCCCCAAAAAAACAAAACAAAACAAAACAAAAACAAAACAAAACAGAACAAAACAAAAATACAGTTCAAAGCAAAAAAGTGACCAAAAAACCCCTCCAACAACGACAAAACGACAACAGCAGAAAGCAAGCTATCCCCCAAAACAAAACAACACCCCATGAATACAAGCAATCTGAAACATATAACATAAAACAGCTTCTAGGGCGGCCGGGGCGGTGGGGTAGCCTAGTGGTTAAAGCGAACATTCGCTCGTCACGCCGAAGACCCGGGTTCGATTCCCCACATGGGCACAATGTGTGAAGCCCATTTCTGGTGTCCCCCGCCGATATATTTCTGGAAGACATGTGATAACCAGTCTGGAGGACAAGTAATACCGAGTTTGGAGGACATGTGAAACCGGATCTGGAGGACATGTGAAACCCAGACTGAAGACATTTGAAACCGGGTCTGGAGGACATGTGAAACCGAGTCTGGAGGACAGGTGATATCCAGACTGGAGGACATGTGAAACCCAGACTTGAGGACATGTGAAACCCAGACTGGAGGACATTTAAAACCGGATCTGGAGGACATGTGAAACCGAGTTTGGAGGACAGGTGATATCCAGACTAGAGGACATGTGATACCCAGACTGGAGGACATTTGAAACCGGGTCTGGAGGACATTTGAAACCGAGTCTGGAGGACATGTGAAACCGAGTCTGAAGGACATGTGAAACTGAGTCTGGAGGACATGTGATACCCAGACTGGAGGACATGTGAAACCGAGTCTGGAGGACATGTGAAACTGAGTCTGGAGGACATGTGATACCCAGACTGGAGGACATGTGAAGCCGAGTCTGGAGGACATGTGATATCCAGACTGGAGGACATGTGATATCCAGACTGGAGGACAAGTGATACCCAGACTGGAGGACATTTGAAACCGGATCTGGGGGACATGTGATACCCAGACTGGAGGACATTTGAAACCGGGTCTGGAGGACATATGAAACCGAGTCTGGAGGACAGGTGATACCCAGACTGGAGGATATTTAAAACCGGGTCTGGAGGACATCTGAAACCGAGTCTGGAGGACATGTGATACCCAGTCTGGAGGACATTTTATACCGGGTCTGGAGGACATGTGATACCCAGCTGGGAGGACATGTGATGAGGAGCTTTGAAAATTTGTGATCGAACAGGAAATGATTTTGTTATTTGCACCCTCCAGACACCGCCGGTATAATATATATATAATATGTACACTGACATCGTTCGTTTCAAATGTCTTCGTGTACTTGACTCTGTCGGATGCAGGGTACGGAATTATAGAGGAGAAGAAAAAGAAACAACACGTTATTTCTCAGGAGATGTGTCGAGTCGAAGGGAGTGCATTGCCTCTACTGGGCGTCATGCTCTGTTTCATTTCGGTTGTCAGTTAGGTCATTGCTCGCTTAACAGGCGGGATACGGCTAGCTGTAACCAGTACACCCTTGAAAGAAATAGGTTTGTAAAATAGCTTTGCGAACATGTTTTGTCTTGTATTGGGAAAAATAGCGTTGTTCGCTGGCTCTTAGTCGTGACCCTGAACCATACAGAAAGCCCACGCAAGTCTAGAAAATGTGCAAGTCTAGATTTCCTCAGCTTCTGAAAATGAAAGTCTCAGGGCTCCTTTTCATTATATATATATTTTTGTACTATTTTTCAGTAAAATATGTTCATTTCAGAGACTAGTTGTTAGTCTAGCTCTTGACCAACGTGTCATGAGTTTGATATTGTATTGTAGCGTCCTAGAATGTAGTAATAAATACATGCTGGAATATCACAGTATTGATTAACAGAACATGTGCTGCATCAGTTGCTATTAATAGACCGATTGGGGAAAACCCCAAGTTTCAGTTCTCCACCGATGTTGAAGGCGCCATATTTGCTTATAATTGCGTTTGAGGAACTATCTGCATACCAAGGTGAGTAAGGTTTATAATTTTGCATCGAAATACTCTTCGTGATGTAAAACACCAGGCTGGGGATATTAAACCCGCTATATTTATAGAGGGCCGTAAGGTTTTCGATTCTGACGCAATACCTATTGACTCTGAGTTTGAACCGATGCAAATCACTCATACCCTACACGAATTTTCCATAGGCGCCCGACTCTGATATATTTATAAGCATGACCTGTATATATAAGATATAACTTATATATCTATATAGGTCATGCTTATAAATATATCAGAGTCGGACGCCTATGGAATTTTCATAGAAACAGGTGATTTCTTTTAAGTTGAAAATGAGCCCCGGTGAGGTTGGAGACTCAGAACCTGAGAAAATCTAGACTTGCTTCATAGAGGTCTCCAGCTTTGAAATATAATGCGGTTCAGGAACTGTGAGACACACAACCCATAACCTTGTTGTTTACAAACAGGACATGGGGCGGAGGGGGGATCCTAGTGGTTAAAGCTTTCGCTCGTCACGCGAAAGACCCGGGTTCGATTCCCCACATGGGTACAATTTCTGGTGTCCTCCGCCGTGGTATTGCTTGAATATTGTTAACAGCGGCGTAAAAACCTACTCACTCACCCAAACAGGACATCGGTTTGAAGATTCCCGATTCCGGTTTCCTAAACTAGATTATGACAACCTTACGACATTAAACATGACCTAGTGTGTGTTGTGTGTGAAGCTCATTCTTGATGCTCCTAGCCATGGAGATGGATTGTATAACGGGGATAGAACCTCACTCACACAAACTGATATGGGGCATATCCGCGTGGTTTGAAATTCATACACAGATTCATAGTTTGTACATCGGGTTTCGAATCAGTCCTCCATGAACCCAACTCATACACTGTTGGCTCAACTAAAAAAACTAAACTAGCCTCTGATTATGTATAGTTTTGATAGAAACAAACAATTCCTTTTAAATCGAAAAGGAGCCGCAGTGAGAAGGGGAAACCTGAGGAAAAATAGACTTGCTTCATTTAGTACTTTAGCATAGCAGAAGGTGATAGGCAGAAGGGTGAATGAGTGAGTGAGTGAGTATGGTTTTACACCGCTTTTAGCAATATTCCAGCAATATGACGGCGGGGGACACCAGTAATGGCCTTTACAAATTGTACCCATGTGGGGAATCGAACCCGGGTCTTGAACAGCGTGACGAGCGAACGCTTTAACCATTAGGCTACCCCACCGCCCTGATAAACAGAAGGGAAACTACCATAGTTCAGGGACTGTGAGATGCACTACTGAAACACTCACGCTCACGGAATTAATAGCCTTGCTCCAAGTCTCATTAAATGATACAACCAGTGATGAACTGTATTTCAATCCAAGACTGTATAAACGAACAATGTAAACACCAGGCGTTTATAAGCGCACCTTTGCTTTATGTTATCGACAAAACTTCTGAATTTTAGAATAATAATAATAATTGCCTAAGAAACATATAAAAGTCAAGGGGACGACAAACGCTGAAGGTTACGTCCTGTTGTGCAAGTCTCTCATTGAAATACGTGTAGTCCAGGGGAAGAAGTGATTCATTATTCAATAGTCACATTCAGAATTAAAAAAACGCCGTTTCAGTAACACGTATGACACATGCTTGGAGAAACCGAACCAACGGATGAAACCAGACACTGATTCTCAACAATGTTGGACTCACGCCTCTGATTGTTGATGTTTGATAAAATGCACTGACGTCACAGGCGGGTGTATCGTCCAGCAGACCGCTTATGTAATAAATAGCTGCACAGTGACATAACGTAGAGGTTATCGCCACAGAATTCCCAGTATCTGCACAGCGTGGACATATCGCGTTACAGTTATTCGAAGCATTTCATTGGCTCGTTATGAACCCGGATCTTTACAGATTAACGTTTGTTTTTGTTTGGGCTGGAAATGCAACCAAACGAAGGTTAAAAACCTAAAGTAATTTTTATAAGTTCTGGCCAGCAAGCAGATTTTCTTGTATCTTATTCGAATATGGACATGTTGCTGATACGAGCGCCAGAATTTGGGCCAGGCTACAAAATAGGATATCCCCACTCTGAGTTTCCCACTTCAATCGACTTGGGATGATTATTTTTTATACCAAAAGATTCACACGATAAATCATTCCTGGACTCCACAGCATCTACAATAAGACTGCAGCAAAATACTTGACCATTGTGACGTCATCCGTTACAGTACTTTCACAATCAAATGACATATGTCTTTTATCTAATGCTGGTTAACTGTGCCTTTTACACTAGTTGTTACTCGTCATACAATGAGCCTGTTGACAGAAAGGCGTAAATGTAATATATATATATTTTTATAATATATCAGCAGTCGTTAATAAATGTTTAATCTTTTATTTACTCGAAATTATATTTCTTGTTTGGAAGAGTCACGCGGGTGGCCCAGTCGTCAATGCCCATGCAGAGTTTGTGTCCCTTTGTGCCTGAAACCTACGATTGCGAGTTCCAATCTCGGCTCGCCCTGTTTAACCAAAGTGATGTACGTCTTAGACTTGTCTTCGGCCTTTCTTCCAACACATACATTCCGTATTGTTAAAAGCAGTGCGCTTGTCGTAAGAAGCAACTAACGAGATAGGGTGGTCAGGCTCGCTAAATTCGTTGACATATGTCACCGTATCCCAACTGCGAAGCTCGATGCTCGTGATCACTGGATTGTCTGGATCAGACTCGATTATTTACAGACCGCCGCCATATAGCTGGAATATTGCTGAGTGCGGCGTAAAAGTCACGCTGTCACTACAGATCGGTTCTCAATTGCGAAGATCGATGCTCATGCTGTTGATCACTGGATTGTCTGGTCCAGACTCGATTGTTTACAGACCGCCGCCATTTAGCTGGCGGCGTTAAACAACAAACAAACAAAACAGCATTAAACCAAACTCATTCATTCCCTTTTCCAGAAGCAGGTACGCAGTGATGGCAGCCCTTGTGGACCAAGACGCATCCACAGCGGGAACAGAAGGAACACACGAGTCGTTCTACAACAAAACCACTGAAGAGGCAGCACACAAAATCATCCTCGAGTACAAGCAAGACCTCCGTTCACAGATCAGCTCCCATTTGCCGTCACGAACAATAGAGAAGTCCGTCGGCGAGGACTACATCTTTGGTCGAGGGAAGGGATCGGACGTACTTCTAAACGACGAACGTATGTCTAGAACATACGCAGCCATTACAACTAAACCTGGAGGCGACGAAGGCGTGAGATTCATCTTGAAGAACTGTACAAAGAATAAGTCTGTCATCCTGGAGCTCTACCAGAAGAAACCGATGACCCTGAAGCCTGGGATGGAGGCAGAACTGAGAGACAGAAGCAGCATCAAACTGATGGATGTGGAGTTTAGAGTAATGGTTAATTACGGTTGTGTTGATACAACAAATGTGGAACTGGAGGTGAAGTGTTGTGAGGGATCGAGTGACCCATCTCGTGTCCAGCCTAGATCAATGGCGTGGCCCTGCGAACAATGTCCACAGAACATGTGTCAGAGAGGTGTGGATTGTTCTGACGACCGGAGACCGCAGTTATACCCCAACCCAACGACGGCTGTGCGTCTTGATGCTCCTACCTCACCAGTGACGACAGATGACGACGCTGGCGGACTCCATGAACGTCACGGACATGGAATCAGCAACGACCCTTTACTGAACGCTTTGTCATGGGAACAGTTTCCGAGGGGACCAGCTTTAGGATCTCTAAATGGATGCCAATCTCTCTACAATTCCGGTTTTCCTGCCATGCGACTTCAGAGCCCTGGAACCCGTGACCCAGCTGTTTCAACGTCCACAGACAGAACCCCGACAGAACACGAAGAGGGAGACAACTGAGTGTGACTGACTTTACCCAACCTGTAAAAAAATCATGTCCGTTCATATCCGGTGTGCCAGTTTAATGTTGGGGAAGTGGTATGGGCCGTGGATATCTACCTCTGCAAAACCCATAAGCACAGAACGTTCTCACAGACCAATGATCTGGAACTAAGATAAGCAGAAAAGAGATAGGGATCCCAGAACGAAAAGTTGTGTACAAAATGGCATTGTAGCATCATGCTACAGTCACACACCACTGTGTCGAAGTTGAATTGACCTACCAGAATACTCCGAGTTATCCGCGGTTAGCAACAACCGCAAAGAATAACTGAATAACTTTTACTTCTAGACAACAGTACTTTCGACACCTCGAAGTTCCATGGTGTTTGAATGACATTGTATAATACCTATACACACTATGGAATAAGGCAAGGTAAAGAAAATTTCCTATTCGACCATTAGTGAGTTATTTGGTGAAGGCGCCATTTCATAACTGGTAAACAGTTTATTTGAAAACAGAATTCAACAACTAAAATTTTTAATAGGAAGGAAAATGACCCCGCAGTGCTAGAAGCCATTACCTGTAACCTGTCTTTGGCGTCTTTGTTGGTGATTGTAAACCAAAGTCACTGCGTTCTTTAATCTGATTGGTTGAAAAACGTGATCAAATGGTATTTGATTGCTGGAAATTCTCTGCGTATTAATACATACAAACATCGCTCATACCATTGTATTGTCACGTCGTCAGCTGTGATGACGTCATTAAAATCATATTGTGACGTAAAGTCCGAATGACGTCACAAATGAGAAGTTCCAGATGCTACCACGGGAGACAGCCGAAACGGCCGGCTGATGACATTTCACTGCTGTACCCGTACTCGATGTCAATGAGAGCAGACACAAAAAACGTGTGTGGACCTTTCGGTTTACTTTTGTGTTTACAATGTCGATAAACATCGTGTCGTCGGTTCCAAATGAATTCCCGTGCTTCAAATACTCAATAACACCCGGAAATTCGCCAACACATGATGTTTATCTCCTAAAGGAATGTCGAAAGTGACAAAGCGTTATCTGTTTCTTTATTTATGCGACGTAGTACTCTGTTCAGAAGACATTTCCATGGAATACTGGCAGAAAAATTCTCGTGTCGTATGAGGTACTTCAAAATATATATACATGATGTGATCTGGTCTTATATTTATATGATGCAACACGTTCTTCAAAGAACATATATATGGAATACCGTAAGAGTAACCTCGATAATGTCCTTTACATTATTGCATACATTTCTAGAGGTGTATCTGTTCGCGCGGCTGTCGGCGGGCACACATGCCCCGGGACCAGTCCAAGGGAGACTACTCTACTTGACCCACAGCTTGATCACAAATCACAAAATTGTTTTCTTCCCTGTTGCTACCGGCTCACTGAATTTAGATGTGTGATCAAATATTCCAACTGTGTGACTTGTTCATGTTATAATAATGTTAACATTCCTTTCTGACTTCAAAATATGCAGTTATTCAAAAGAACAAAAATATAACATGCTTTTATTAAACTGTTTTCCATTCAACAGTCAAGGGCTTTATACAAAGGGCTACATACCAAAGAATGAAGAAAGAAAGGCCTAGCATGTAGATATATATCACGTGTGTGCATCTATTTATAATTTACTCACTATAGAGTAATGTGAAATCGCTCATTTATTGGCGTTCATCTTGCCCTTGAAAATATACAAATAGCTTCCATGTTTGTCAGTATTATGTTTAAGTTCACTTTCTGTCATGATGTATGTTGGCGAATGCATATGAAGCTAATGAACGAAATGTGGATTCCTTGGCCAAAACATGCTGAATATTAAGATTGAGATTGCTCTGACCATACATAAGAGCATCTGAGATAGAGAACCCGAGCTGGTACATATGCGAGTGATGTAATGTCTGTAAGAATTTTTGTATTTATATATTCAACCATAATATTTATAGCATATCGATGCTTCCACCCATTACCATGGTTACGAAGATGTCAGCCATATCATACTCGAATACAAGGATAGAGTGGTGCGAAGTGGAGTGTTGGGGAGCGGAACGGTTTTTGAGGGTGCAAAAGAGTGTTAATAAATCATAAGTTGATTTTTGTATTTCACGAAATATTCGTGTTCATCTTGCTCGTTGGTATATTAGCTTCCACTCCACCTAATCAACCGAAGCCCTCCCTTCCTATGTCCACATTGGTGAATCAACTCTTGCCGGTTTATATCATCTACTGTTTATTGAGCAGCCATCATTTTCCTGTCCTAGTCTCCAATGTTTTACTGTAAAAGGGAGTACATTTAAAAGTAAAATGATGTATATATTATTGCGTGTTTCTTTGATCAATATCACCGATACCGGGATGACGCCAATAGACGGAAGGACACCAATAGACAGGATGGCATCAATAGACGGGTTGACACCAATAGACGGGATGACACCAATGGACGGGATGACACCAATGGACGGGATGACACCAATTGACGGGATGACATCAATAAACGGGATGACACCAACAGACGGGATGACACCAATAGACAGGATGACAGCAATAGACGGGTTGACATCAATAGACGGGTTGACACCAAAAGACGGGATGACACCAATCGACAGGATGACACCAATAGACGGGTTGACACCAATAGACGGGATGACATCAATAGACGGGTTGACATCAATAGACGGGTTGACACCAATAGACAGGATGACAGCAATAGACGGGTTGACATCAATAGACGGGTTGACACCAAAAGACGGGATAACACCAATCGACAGGATGACACCAATAGACGGGTTGACATCAATAGACGGGTTGACACCAATAGACGGGATGACATCAATAGACGTGTTGACACCAATAGACGGGATGACATCAATGGACGGGATAACATCAATAGACGGGATGACACCAATAGACGGGATGACACTAATAGACGGGATGACATCAATGGACGGGATGACACCAATTGACGGGATGACACCAATAGACGGGATGACATCAATAGACGGGATGACATCAATGGACGGGATGACACCAATAGGCGGGATGACATCAATAGACGGGATGACACCAATAGACGGGATGACCTCAAGTATGTTTATATATACTTGACATTCGAGAATCAGTGCTTTGTATCACAGAAACACAAAACTCCATCCAAAAATATCTCCTACATAGACGACATCAAGATATGCAGGAATTTGTCGTTGTAAACGTGGAGGTTTTCATACCAATGTTCGCTCAAATTAACCACAACAGTTAGAAATCCACTTTCAATAGTCTCACCCCGACAGAGGTAGGTCCAGAGGGTATTGAAACAACGGTCAGCTGATCCATCAGGACGTCGTTGTCCACCACAGAACGCGGGACGTTTGACGGCGCTGGCCACCACTGTGCACCACCTCGCCATCACCGTTAGGACAATTGATAGAAAAGATATACAATGGTCAACATTTTGTTTGTTTGTTCGTTGTTTAATGCCGCACTCACCATATTCCAGCTATATGGCGGCTGTCTGTAAATAATCGAGTCTGGACCAGACAATTCGGTGATCAACAGCGTGAGTATCATCTTCACAATTGGGAACCGATGACATGTGTCAAACAAGTCAGCGAGCCTGACCACCCGATCCCGTTAGTCGCTTCTTACGACAAGCCTGGGTTGCTGAAGACCCGTTCTAACCCTGATCTTCACGGCTACACTGCACAACAAACACACAACAAACACACAATATGCTGTATATCACAAGCACTACCATCAGCTGACTGTGTTACTCAAACAAACAGGAAGTGGACTCAAACTATCGCGACTTTCCTCAAAGTACTACATCCTGTTCACGATCGTCCGAACACAATCCTATACACGTGTCAACCAAGCCAGATGTTACATTGTTCCACAAACTGAACAGGTAGACACACGCTACAATTGCCCTGATGCAGAATGATACGATGCAGCATGGAGATTAAGCACACACAGGGACGTATTGACATTGTATTGTACTGACTGACGAAAATGTATGTAACAACACATTAGGTTAATGTTCATAAGTAGCATTCAGACGTGATGCACTATGTATAAAACCTCTCTGTGCACACAGGTCCAAGATTTTAGCTGAATCACCATACCATCTGTATAGGTGATAAGGCGGTAAGTACTGCCATGCCATAGTTCTGGCCATGGCATGGGAAGCATACATCAAAATACCCAACACTCTTATTTGAACCGTGTGAGAAATACGCGTCAAGTTGGAAAGCGCACGTAAAATCTCCAAATCAGCATCACCATCTTCATCTTCTTCTATAATTTCTTCTATCTACGATGGAGGCAGAAATAATTGTGCCAAGCCACAAAGGACGCATAGCACACCCTCAGCAACTCGCTCGAATGTTTATAACATTCGCTGGGTATACCAGAATACATACAATATCTGTAAAGACATAATGGTGACGAGTGTATATAGGGCATGTCGATATTGCTCAGCGAGTAAGCCATTAAGGGGAGATAACTCCTGGACGCTAGGCACATTTCGAAGTTGGTTGGTGCTTAATCCTGAATATTATTTGTGTTTGTTTGTTTGTTTGGTGTTTAACGCCGCACTTGGCAATATTCCAGCTATATGGAAGCAGTCTGTGAATAATCGACTCTGGACCAGACATTCCAATGATTAACAGCATGAGCATCGATCAACGCAGTTCGGGTATGATGACATGTGTCAACCAAGTCAGCGAGCCTGACCACCCGATCCCGATAGTCGCCTCTTACGACAAGCATGGGTTGCAGAAGAACTTCACGAATCAGGTGATAAGTATATACATCACCAACTGAGTTTGTCATGGTGTTCGATACCCACTACCAAGCCCATCATACGTCGTAAAAATTCAGTGGATTAATGCTCAGCGTCATCAAAAATGTTGTGTAATTGGAAATGGGGTTTACATATTTTGTTTCGATAGCCCAAAGGCTAAAATAGCTTTGTAGAACGGACCACGTCTTCCTGTTGTATAGAAATGTATATTTATGCAAAATATCAATACAGGTTATCCGAAAGTGTAAATGTTTTGTTTGTTTTTAATACCGCATTCAGCAATATTCGAACTATATGACAACAGTCAATAAATAATGGAATCTGGACCAGATAGTCCAGTGATTGACTTCATAAGCATCACACACTTTGGATACCATAACATGCATTAACCAACAGGCAAACTGTAGCGCAAACAGGGTTGCGCAACAAAGAGAAAATGACCAGTCTTCGTATATGCGAGCGAAGCGAGCAACGGTTGGCAACGTACTTCCCTCGCTTCGGTACGAAAAATATTTTTCATGTCAAAATAAAATATCGGCACCACCAAAGGTAGACACCCATTTCCTCACAGGGTTGTGCTCTCGGATTTCCAACCTCATACTTAATAATTACTCACGTGAAATATATCTTAATCAACGTTTTAAGCGCCGCTGGTGGTGTGTCAGATATACGAAGACTGGTCATTTTCTCTTTGTTGCACAACCCTGTTTGCGCT